CACAACACCATCTAGTTTCATGGTAAACGCACGAGGCTTGTGTTATGGTACCAGATAGTTGACACACTACTTATACATATCTTTAAATACATAGTTATATATTATAAATATAACAATCCATGACTGGAGTACAAACATTCGTGCTCATCACACAAATGAATGCCCCGGCGGGATTCGAACTCGTGACCGCTGGCACAACAAGTAGGTTTACTATAAACTGAGCAAAAAGTGTACGTCTGTGATTTTTACTCTTAAAACAGAAAAATTACACGGATTCTATAATAATTTAAAAGCAATTCCATTATTATTTTTTTGGTATTTATTTTATTACAAGTATTTAATATCTCTAAACAAGTTAAACGCTGTAAGATTACCAAATAAATAAATAAGTAGGTTAAAATATTATCAAAAAGAGTTAGTCTGACTGTCTGTTTATATTTTTATTATAAGATACAACTTTTTATAAGTGTCAAATACTATAATTATATTATCATGGGATTGAGTTGATTTAAGATTTGTTAAGCGGATTGGTAAGAAGTCAGAAGATTGTAGGGATAAAATAATGGTAAAATTCTGGAAATCTATATACTACATATTTTTATCCGAATATTTATATATTTTTATCCCGGAATCATCCCTTAAGTGGATGAAAATGGGGATGAAAGTTTGTATGGGGAAGCAAGCTACCAAATAAAAAAGTACAAGTGAAATTGTTCCAGATAGCTTGCAATATCCCCCGCGATGTATGTAATATCCTCACATTATCGTGGTGAGGTCCTGGGGAGGCTCATGAGCATTTAGACGCTCTAAATAGTCTAGCAAGGCGTAAAGCCAAGAAATGCTCTTGGGAGGCGGCCTACCTCGATGGGCCGTGTACGGTCATGTGAGTTGCTCTGCTACTTCTCTGATTGCAGAGTGGACCGTAGGATAACCCCTTGGTTGTTGTGGTCCGCTTCGGCAAGCCATGGCCAAGGCCGAGATGTCGTGGTTGAGTGCTTTAGAGATCTTGCGGCGCGCCATTAAGATGGGGAAAGTTCTATTGGATTTTAAAGGGTGAGTCTCATCATAACTATGTATCTGTATGCAAGTGGTTAGCGTAAATACATTTTCCAACGTTAAAAAGTGTTGTTTTGTAATATATAAAACTTTACAATATTCCGAAATATTGCCAAATCATGTCATCATCGAAAAAATGTCGTTTTTGATATTTTAATTGACAATTTGCTAAACAATCTAACATGGAACTTTCATGTACGCAATTAGCCTAGCATTCGATAAAATACGAACTGAAATATATTCAGAAATTAATAAAGGCACATTATCACAGGTATCGCCTGTACGTGCTTACCACAGCGGATTTAGAATATTTGGATGTGTTCCAGGTTAACTACAGGGTATATGGTATTTCGAATTGCAATTTTAAATATTTTAAACGATAATGAATCTTATTGTGTTTATGAAAAGGGCCATATTTGTTTCACTTTTTTTATTTAAAGTGACAATGTTTTAGTCTGTCTGTACCGCGAATACCATTATTATAGAGTTAAGTAGGTAATATGCCAACGTCGGCAGCTATGTAGTTGGATGTTTTCTTTGGGTAAGGTTGCATTTTCAGCGACAAAGACGGTTAGTCCTGAATTAAGGAAATAATCTAGAATTTTCGGTTAGCACCCAAAATTTTATGGAAAATTCAGGTTTTGCTGGGAAATTGAAACTGGAATTTTAGTAGCAATTTGCACTCAATATAATGAAATGGCTCATTATTTTAGATTTTAATAATTCTTGCCTTCTGAAGCATAGTTTTAAAACAAGAATAAGTAGTTCTAATATCAAGACTTTAAATGATATATGAAAATATTAACATAAACACAAGTACACTGCACATGGACATACATACATGCAATAAATATTTACTTGGACGATATAAATATCGTCCGGCGAACTTCTCCTACTTACTAGTATGTTTTGGACTAGCATTGCCCGCGGCTCCGGTCGCTTTCAGGTGACCAAAAACCAAATTCCTAGGTTTTACATATTAGTATACTCTTACATTGCAGTATTTGTATTTTTTCTCAAAAATGAGATATTTTCCCGCGGTAAAATGTACCCTATATATTGACCCGGCTATCCAGCTATCATCATACGAAATTTCATCAAAATACCTCCAGTGGTTTTTCTGTGATGCGTTAACAGACAGACAAAAAAATTTTTATGTACAGATTCGGCTTATTTACAATTTTATTATATGTATAGATTAAGATACCTGACAGTTAGTGTAACAAATATAGATATTAGAATGAACCAGGGGGATTGCTACTTAGATCAGATAGACAGAATAGTTGTAAAATAATAATTTCCAATAATCTATATATATAAAAGAAAGTCGTGTTAGTTACTTCGCTTATAACTCAAGAACGGCTGAACCGATTTAGCTGAAAATTGGCAGGGAGGTAGTTTAGAGCCAGGAGAAGGACATAGGATACTTTTTATCCCGTTCGACCGCGTTCCAATTTTTATGATATTTTAATTTTTGGATTTCTCTTAGTCCGGAATAGGTAAGTATTAAAACATATAATTAAAATGTGAGAAAGAAAGATTTTTTCTTTTTATATCTATTTAAAACGTACCTAGCGACGAACCCGAGCGAAGCGAGGGTGAGCCGCTAGTAGAATGATAAAAATAGATATAAAATTAAAATATATCAGATGAAAGAATACCTACAAAGATTTCTATTCTTCAACAATTGTAGAATGACATCTCGTCTAGGCCCGCAGTAGAACTTTTGTTCAACTTGACAGATACGCAAAACATTTTTTATGGTAATAAACCGTGTAATACAAATAAAATAACGGTGGCATTTGAAAATTGTAAACGCTCTTCTTCTTCTTATTTGTTACATACAGTCTTGACAGACTGGTCGTGGTCATCATATAGGTCTTGTAACCCGTTCGACTATTCGCCTCCACTCCTCTCTATTATTTGCGTTTCTCGCACATTCATGCAGTGGGACGTCTACTGCCGCTCTGACTTCACACTTAATGAGACGATAAATAAAATGTTTAAGTATGTCAGGTCAGGATATATGTCAGGACATTAACACACAACACTATCTAGTTCCATGGTAAGCTACAAGGCTTGTGTTATGGATACCAGATAGTTGATACACTACATATATAACTTTAAATACACACATATTATAAATATAAACATCCATGACTGGAGTACAAACATTCGTGCTCATCACACATATGAATGCCCCCAGCGGGATTCGAACCCGCGGCCGCTGGCACAGAAAGTAGGGTCATTACAAACTGAGCCAAACGTGTCGTCAAATGTTTAAGTATTAAAGCGTAAAATTAAAAATAAACAATTCGAAATACAATAAAAATTAATGAATACTTTTGAGTTGCTTAAGTTTTTCAATTAGAGTTGCACTATTTCGTATATCGTAGTTCGCTGCATGCAATTTGTGAACTCGACTTAGCTGCTAACTAAATTAAATTTGGTACGTCTAGAATTAGTTAAGTTTAACCCATATGTAAGTAAAATAAACATTGGAAGTATATCGGCATTTAAATACATATAATTACTAGGTAATTTATGTTTGTATATAAATGTAGTTATATTAGTTCTACTAGCATATTATATATATATATATATATATATATATATATATAATATACATACATATATACCTAAGTACTGTATTTTATTTAAGTGCAATAAAGAATAGTACCTATATAATTAAGTGTAAATAATAAAACTAATGTTTTTTTAATATAATTTATTATATTATTAATACTTTACACAAATGTTAGTGTGGAATTCTTGTTGTACACAAAATAACAAGCTTCAATCATTTACGTTAGTTGAAAAATAAAACATAAGTAAGTAGTAATATGTTTTCCTCAACTTCACACAATGATAGGCAAATATTCCAAGTGAAATGACAAAAATCGGTACCAGGGTAATCATTTTTTTTTAATTTGCATGGCATTCTTTTTGAAATTGGCCATCTTGGTTTTTTTCTTATTTGTTATAATAGAAATATACACTCTGTGAAAATTTCGACTCGTTCATGAGATACAGCCGTCTAACAAACGGACAGACGGACGGACAGAGGAGGCTTAGCAAAAGGGTTTCGCTGGCACCCTTCGGGTACGGAACTCTAAAAGCGATTGAACAAATTAATATATTATATACAAATGTTTTACTATAAAGATAAGTTCACAATAAAACGAATAAATCGTTTAAAATATACTTTCTTGTATATAAAAAAAAACTAGTTTTGAGCTTCGATTTACCTAAGATGCACACGTCAAAATACATATACTCGGACAATATTTTGTTTTAAAAGTATTTTCGTAGGAATAGAAGTAGATTATTCATAATTTCTTTAAAAAATATTTTATATGGAATTACATCATACAAAAATACCAATTAATTCTTAAGGTGTGTTTTATTAAAGATATGCAACAGAGGTGGAAATTCATTTTAAAAATTCATTCATTGAAATTCATTCAATTCAATGAAAATAAATGAAATTCGTTCATTCATTGACTTCAAAAAGCGCCAGTTAAGCAGATACCAATATACATTTGGGAGATTGGTCGCTAAAATAAAGTTACACTATATTGTGTAATAACTAAAAACCCTTTATAAATCTTAAACCTATAATAAATTACCATTATTTCACATAACGCTTTTTCCATACAAATTTAGTTTTCTCGTAATGTTACCAATTGTATAATGTCATCTCGTCGAAGTGGTAACTACACGTAATACGAGTATATCCAATATATAATACTTCCCAAGAATTTGTTTTTGTTAAAGTTTTCGTTGTTCAATAAGGCTTGTGACCTTTTGAAGCTCACTATAATAAAGAAATTCCAACTCAATAAGAAATAAAAAGAAAAATTATGAAATAATAATAAATTATATCATCATATTATAGTAATTATAATAATAAAATAAATCTTTCTTAAATTATTAATAGATCAAAGCGTCTCCTTAGATTCCACTTCTGTGGGCAATTGGGGTTTTTTATCATCAATAACTAATATAGTGTTCTTCTCATCCACTTTTGGTAGAGGTGTATTCATCAAACACTCGATATAAGTCGGGGGTTGATCAACTTTCTTTTGTAGTAATTCATGTCGCACTTGGAATATGTAAGCGTTGATAATCATTAGGAAAATGACGGAAATACCTGAAAGTAAAGAATATCTTCAACCGACTTCCTCAAAAAGGAGGAGGTTCTCAATTCGCCTGTATTTTTCTTATGTTTATTACCTCAGAACTCCGTCGTTTATTAACCGATTTGGACACACAGATACATACAGATGGACTAATATCATAAATTTTAACATATCAAATTGAATATATTATCTTCAAATAGACTTTTACAAGCACTATTGAATGGTCAATTTTTTAATTTTTCAAATTTAAATTAAATGTCAGTATTGTTAGTCCGTGGGAAATCTACCACCGACTCGGAAAAGGGTCCTTCTGATACGAGTCGGTGAGAAACTCAACAGTTGCTCTTATAAATATATTTTTTTACAATATTGCAATACAATTGATTATCTTATCCCATATGAGACCCAATTCAAAATTAGTCACAGAGCCCAAATATCACTCTTTGGGTGTGAAATTTATAAGTATACTACAATTGTTGTGTAAAATATTGGAAACAGCACCTACCAGTATCAGCAGCAATCAGGAAGGAGTACTGTGGACTGGCGAAGCCCATATTAAATTGGTATGTAAAGTATATCACTTGGACTATTAACTTCAGAAGTGAGAGGCCAAAAAACATACGCATTGGCTCCGGATCTCTCTGTAATGTCAAAAAAATAATTAAAATATCATATGCGAGATATAAATTAAATTAAACGACTTAATTTAAATATTGTAACTACTCATATATTATTATACACTATTAAAATATATGTAGTGAATGTTATGCTCAAAGGAGAACTCGATTATTGAGCAAACTTTTTAAATCTTTAAAACGTTCATCTTGAAATTTGTGCACAAGCTTCTACGATATTTGACCACAAAGCTTTTTTTGATACAACCATACATACATATAAGTTTTAACCAAATACTTTTTCTCTCTTTTTCTCTTTTTTTTTAAATTAAATTTACTGCAAAAGAGGTTCAAATCCATTGAGAAAATATAGTTTAGTAACATATTTTATCGAATTCAAATTCTGTGACAGATTCAATTTGAATATGGTCCTTTAAAATCTAAACGGTCTTCTCGTTATATATATTTTAATCGACCCAAAAAACCTATACTACCCGTAGTTAGTGGGTAATAGAGAACTGTGGTATTGTACCTATGTCAAAACAAAGTTGACATAAAAAAATTGCAACCCGAAACCAAAGATTGTTCTATAAACTTTTTTAACAATGTTAAATGTATATGATGTGACAAGTGATTACGGTTAAGGTTTTTGGAACTTCACCCTTACTTATTATTTTTGTGAATGATCTGTGCGTTAATTATCGTAACCTAATCTAAGACTTATTATAAACAACTAACATTCCGAATTTCCGCGTTACGATCAAGCATTATGACTATTACGATACGTGATTTATTACTTTGCCTTATAAAGGAATCGAACCTGCAATATATGAAGGGTAAAGGTAAAATCATTATCATAAATTAATTTTTTATATAGTTATATGTATTTCTATCACAGTACCTTATGTACAGCAGTCACAAAAGCAATAACAAACTTAAGCCAGATGACGTTGATGAAGAAATTTATAATATCAATGAGACTCAAGTGCAGCATCCCTGGATAACATCTTGGTTCAACTACAAATTGCATGTGGTCGTAGTAGGAGCGTAAATCGAGAGGAAAAGGATAAAAGCCATGGGTTCCGAAATTGATCACTAAAAGCAGCAGCTGTAGCCATGGCAAGTCGATTACCGAGAGCTAAAACAAAATAAATACAATATTAATTATTCTGTAAATTTTGTCTGTTTCAGTTTATTGGACAGACATTATAAATGCGAAGACTTGTATGTTATATGTGTATGTGTACGGTTCGTATGTATGTATACGGTTGCTTTTTTATATATTTAGCGTTTTAATAAAAAAATAATATATTTCATTAATTTGTAATGATTTATGTAAAAAGCATTTAGCTATGTGACCTTGGCCGATAGGAATGTGGTTTAAAAAAAATAAAAATGGGCGCGGATATTCATTTGTTTTCCCGCGCTTTTGCACAGATGTCCGTACCGCCCTGTAGTAAATCACGAATTGTTTGTAATACTGAAAATTTTGATTATAAATTATAAGTAAGGGAATATCTCGAAGTTTTATTAGTGATCCTACATAATAATATGTATGTTTGTTATTCTTTCACGCTGAAATAACAGGACGGATTTAGATGTGGCATTCAGACAGTTAACGACCTGCAGCAAAACATGGTCAGCACGCATGAATGCCCTCGAGAGAAGCGACTGTAAGTCGATAGCAATTTATGAATTTTTGTACTGCAAAATATTGGATCGCATAAACTTTGGTAAATCTTGGGTTCTGCAAGAGATAAGAAAAAATAAGATTTATTAATCTCAATACAGCAGAAAATGTACTACGAGTATATCTAATATAATATGTATGCCCTCCACCTCCGCCCGCGTTCCGATGACCAAAAACCAAATTCTTAGGTTTTACATATTAGTATACTCTTACATTGCAGTTTTTGTATTTTTTCTCAAAAATGAGGCATTATCCCGCGGTAAAAAGTGAAATGAAATCCTATATGTTGACGCGGATAACCAGCTATCACCATACCAAATTTCATCAAAACCCCTCCAGTGATTTTTCTGTGGTGCGGTAACAGACAGACAGACAGACAAACAAAAATTCTAAAAATTATAAATTGCGTCTCTGTATCGATAATAGTGTTTATTTCAATAAGATTTTCCAAAAAATATTTAATGTACAGATTCGGCTTAGTTACAATTTTATTATATGTATATAGATAAACAAAGCTGGAGCGATTTACTAGTACTTTTGATAGAACCCTCATGTGCTTTTGACCTTGAACACAAAATACTTCAAAGTGCTCGGAACGCCAGCTTTAAAATGCAAAAAAAGTGTGTGGATTTTAATCTTAATCTAGTACATACATAGCATTAGATATAGAGCATGGATATGATGTATGGGATTTAGGTAATTTTTTTTTAATGTTGGGATATTAACACACACAGCACCATCTAGTTCCATGGTAAGCTACGAGGCTCGTGTTATGGATACCAGATAGTTGATACACTACACATATATAATCTTTAAATACATACATGTTATAAATATAAATACCCATGACTGGACTACAAACATTCGTGCTCATCACACAATGAATGCCCCCAGCGGGACTCGAACCCGCGACCGCTTACACAGCAAGTAGGATCACTACACACTGGGCCAAACGTGTCGTCATTATTGATTCTTCATAATTTATTTTAGTTTTACTTCATTATTTTTTACACATTAAACATTATACATGTAAAATGGGAGCCAGTGTGAAAATGATGACTCTGATGAACTATAACAAATATCATATTTTTCAACATTCTATAATGATTGATAACTAGCGAATATCCCTCGCTTCCATCGGGCGCGTCCCTAAGTCCTAACAGTGTGTTACTCCAGGGCACAGTGTTGTTGTGTACTAAAATTCACTGAAATACCATGACCCGTTTTTGAAGGAGTAACAACTAACAAACACAGACACATACAAACTTTTGCATTAGTGATGTGTTCAAAATATATACTTACGCTCTCTGCCTTGATGTCACATTGGAAACCGTTTGAAAGTATTGCTACCACCAGAACGTGACATCCTATATCCACAACACTGGCCAACTGAAAAAAATTGAATAATTAGTTAATATTTATTTAATTAAATCTTGTAACAAATAATAAAAGTGTAAGTACGTAATATAAAATGAATTTTTAGAAAAAAAAAATTTGTTAGTGAGAAACCTTTGTATAGAGTAGACAATAGACATAGCATGCGATTGAGTCATGAATGTAACTTAGTGTATCTTAGTTAATGAAGTTTGTGAATGATGAATGTTTATATCTCGATTACGCGTAACTCGCAAGCTGTTGAACGGAATTCAATGAAACTTGGTCGAGATACTCGTAGACCACATCTTGGAAATTTTTTTGTTGAGTATTTGTGATTTTTTTTTCATTTAATCATTTCAACCATGAAACGATGCAGAATGTTGTTCATTAAACAAATTATGCTAGAGGGTTCAGCATTTTCAGATTTTAATTTAGACTTTTCTAAAAAATACCTATTTATAATGTTATGTATTACTTACAAAAAGTAGGTAATTTTCAGCACCTGCCTTAAAGGCAAAAAATAAAATCATTTACTCAATTTCCGTTAACTTTGAACTCCAGAATTAATTAAAAAAATAGATTTACCTCTTTTATTTACCCGCATTAAATTTTCGTCTGGGTTTAAATTAATTATTAGAAAGTTCATGATCATATTATTAATCTATATAATAAAATATCGAATAATCCATGTTTTTTTTTGGAATATATCAATGATTTTATAATTATTACTCTTGGAATATCATTATTAAATAAAACTATCTTTTCGGATTATTTCGCGGATTTATTTTGATTTTTGGTTCCCGACGTTTCGAATGCTTTACAGCATCCATGGTCACGGGAGAGACTGAGGTGTTACATGTCTTAAAGATATAGTTGTTACAGACAGCCTACCCACAATCAACAAAATGAAAATTGCACCAATTACATTACAATATTTTTAACTTTAAACATTTTTTATAATTGTAATTATAATTGAATATGGAAAATTATTTATTTATTTTTTGCTATTATTTTTATAATTATTACAATTTTAAAAATATTAATTAGTAATCTATATTTAGTGTTGCCATTATTATATTTATAACCATAAATAAAAATATAAAAATATAGTATTAATTATTAAAGCCATATAATTGTTCTATGTGTAATTTAAAAAGTTAAAATTAATTACGGATAATCATTTTAATTTAGTTTGCTATTATTTAAAAACAACTTACTAAGCAACACTATTAATATATACTTTTACAAATGAAAAATGAAAAATATCAATCTGATATATCATTTTTCATTTGTAAAAGTATATATTAATAGTGTTGCTTAGTAAGTTGTTTTTAAATAATAGCAAACTAAATTAAAATTATAATCCTTAATGAATTTTAACTTTTTAAATTACACATTGAACAATTATATAGCTTAAATAATTAATACTATATTTTATATTTTTCTTTATGGTTATAAATATAATAATGGCAACACTAAATATAGATTACTAATTAATATTTTTAAAATTGTAATAATTATAAAAATAATAGCAAAAATTAAATAAATAATTTTCCATATTCAATTATAATTAAAATTATAAAAATGTTTAAAGTTAAAATATTGTAATGTAATTGGTGCAATTTTCATTTTGTTGATTGTGGGTAGGCTGTCTGTAACAACTATATCTTTAAGACATGTAACACCTCAGTCTCTCCCGTGACCATGGATGCTGTAAAGCATTCGAAACGTCGGGAACCAAAAATCAAAATAAATCCGCGAAATAATCCGAAAAGAGAGTTTTATTTAATAATGTCAAACATTCGCGTAAATCTAAGAAAGTATCTTGGAATATCAAATAAAAAAAATATATTATCTATTAATTTAATAGAAGATCGCTTGTCTCTTATTTACTATTCAACTTGATTCTCCATATTCTTTATTTTTACATCAATTCTTGTTTAAAGATTTTTTGACCTCTCTCCTTCGACGGTGTTAACTATTCTGCTCGAAAAGAAATTGTAATAATTTCTTTGTATATAGGTTTTTGTATATTATATATGATCTATAGTTAAAGGGGTTCAAAAAGGTCTATGCTAGCCCCGGTACGATTTGGTTGGCGAAAAGCTGCTCAAGATAAAAAAGAATGATGGAATCTAGTGTCGGAGAGCAAGATCAACTTTGGGTCGCTGAGCCAGGGTAAATCAGTAAGAAAGCATCGTTTAAGCGGCGTATAAAGGTGTAAGGCATATAGGATGTTATTAGATTTCTTATAAAAGGTATTCCTCATATATGTGGCGTCTTCAATATAACATTAAATATGATATTACTTTTAATAGACTGTTTTACTAGGTTTTACTGTTTTACTTGAAAAAAAGAAAATAGTGATAAACTTACCAAGTGCAAATAGCCAATGGTGAGGCATTTCAAGCGGAGATTGAATCCGCACATCATTATCTGTAGCATGCCCTGTAAAACAATTTGACCATCTTTTATATCTATACATATAATATAACCGTAGAGATCGAAGAGTCTGTACATATTTTTTTTACTAAATTTGAGTTTTTTGGAGCTGAATATTTTTTTACAATTTTATAAGATGTTAGCTAATGTATAAAAAAAATAAAAAAAGCACGCATATTCCCCAAAATAATATGATTTCAGACACAATGATGAAAGATCGTTTAGTAAATATTTTGTCGTTAAGAAAAATGTACGTATGTGTAAGCTATAAGTGTCAAAAAAAATGAAATTACAAAATTAGAATATTTTTGACCATGCAACTTTACAATCATCGGCCATGTAACTATTAGCTTGACTATGCAAAGAATTGGATTTCAGTGGAGTTATAAATTTTATGGAAGTAATATTTTTACTAGTACTCGCACACAGCTCCAAACAAGTGGGGAGTATATCAATAAAAATGAGCCCGTGCCCAGCAGTGGGACGTTAAGAATGGCTGAATACAAATACATACATACATATTAATATCAATAAAAAGCCTCCGTCTTATTCCAGGATATTTAAAATTTAAAAATTCTATGAGGCTGTTACACCGTGAAGACGTATCAAACACTCAATCATTCAAAAAATTTCATAATAGAGGTATCAATAGTTGTAATATCTATAGATAGTGTAAATATTGGTAGGGCCAATATTAAATTTACTCAAGCGATTCCAACTCTCTAAATATATATAAAACTATCATTTGATTTAAAATATCTACTGTACAATAATTTAAATATGAAAACTCCCTTCTGTCTAAGTAATTTTTATTAAACAAACAGATAGATCGTACAACATAAAAAAATCTGTTGGTTTGTATGTAGTAAGTCTAAAGTATCTAAATACATATAGCATATATCTATAATAATATAAATGGGCAAAGATAAATTCAGTACCTTTTTCCCCTCTGTTGGTTAGATTGTCCACCGATTTTCTTTTATTTTGTAATAGCTATTGACGAGCTTTACATTTATCAATAAAACAAACTTTTTTTATACAGATAGGTAAATTCTATTCATATATTATGTTTTCTTTAAATTTTCAATAATAACTAGCGACTCACCCTCGCTCCGCTCGGGTTCGTCCCTGGGGTGGGGTCTGGGAGGACCACCCTTATCCTTATCACTTAGGGGTATGAAAAATAGATAGTAGCCGATTCTCAGACCTACTGAATACGCATATAAAATTTGGTAAAAATCGGTAAAGCCGTTTCGGAGGAGTACGGTAACAAACATTGTGACATGGAAATTTTATATATAAGATTATACTCAAGTTTCGGCCACACGGCGAGCACTATCAAAAAGTCGATGTACCTCCAAGTTTGAACTTGACCCCGTTGTTATTATTGTATTGTGCGTATTATAAACATACGATATATTTAGAGAATAACTAGCATTGCCCGCGGCTCCGCCCGCGTTCAGATGACCAAAAACCAAATTCTTAGGTTTTTTTCTTTAGGTTTTATATTAGTATACTTTTACAATGCAGTTTTTGTATTTTTTCTCAAAAATGAGGCATTATCCCGCGGTAAAAAGTGAAATGAAATCCTATATGTTGACGCGGATAACCAGCTATCACCATACCAAATTTCATCAAAACCCCTCCAGTGGTTTTTCTGTGATGCGGTAACGACAGACAGACAGACAGACAGACAGAAAGACAAAAATTCTAAAAAACTATAGGTTCGGCCTCTGTATCGATAATAATGTTTATTTCAATAAGATTTTCCAAAAAATATTTAATGTACAAATTCGGCTTAGTTACAATTTTATTATATGTATAGATTAATAACGTATGCCAGTACCCAGTTCATTTAAAGTAATTCCTTATTAACATCTTTGAACTAATACTAAGTCTCGTCAATGAGCTAGATAGAACAAGTAAAACGACTCGCATACGTCATTTACGATGTCAAATGCAAATGGCAAATGTTACATTGTCATTTTCATCATTCATGTAATCAATGGACATATATCAACTAAGATCTGCTTATGATTTTTTAAACATTAATGTATGACGCTTTATTTTCTTTTAAAAGTGATTTGTTACGTCAATCTATACATATAATAAAATTGTAACTAAGCCGAATCTGTACAATAAATATTTTTTGGAAAATCTTATTTTTTTGTCTATCTGTTTTTAGAATTTTGGTCTATCTATCTGTCTGTCTGTTACCGCATCACAGAAAAACCACTGGAGGGATTTTGATGAAATTTGGTATGATGATAGCTGGTTATCCGGGTCAACATATAGGATTTCATTTCATTTTTTACCGCGGGAAAATGTCTCATTTCTGAGAAAAAATACAAAAACTGCAATGTAAGAGTATACTGATATGTAAAACCTAAGAATTTGGTTTTTGGTCATCTGAACGCGGGCGGAGCCGCGGGAAATGCTAGTTTTATTATATTTAACTTTAATTTTAATATTTTTTTTATATTAAAAAATATATCACTATTAGCCAATACAAAAGATTTTTAGAAATCATATTGTTGCTATGAGCTTAGGTTCTGGGAAGCAGAATTAAACCTGGTCCTTGCAATACAAATGTGTTATTGCCGTTACGTATATGAAAGCCACTTATATCAGTTCACGTGCACTGGCAAACCAGTCACTGAGCAATTCATTCTAATACGGACTATATCACTATTTTACAGGAATATCCACTACTTTACAGGAATAAATAGACGTTTTAAACATATAATTATAATAGTGAGTAGAATAAATATGTATTATAATTTATTTATTTTTTTAATAATTTATTAAGTGTTAAAAAATGTATTTTAATCAATTAGTGCCCTGACAAGACTGTAAACCGTATTGTTATGCTTCTCATTTCCAAGAAAAACGTAAAAGTGTTGCCATGTTTTAATTAAACAAAAATATTGCCAATGCCTGAAACCAATATTTGATAACTTGGGAAAAGACTCGAATACAAAAATGTATATCAATTTAAGCTTTTAAAGTGGTTTCCTGAAAAATATATGGATTCCTGAATTATTTTTTTTTAATTAAACACGTAATAATCTTTCACATAAGACCTCTTATTTGTTTAGAGAATAAAACTATAGGACATAATATTATCAAGGCCAAAAATGTTTTATATACAAAATGAACAAACTGAGTGTCGTAGTTACGCTAACTCAATGAGTGGGTTGTTGCTCCGAACGTGAGAAATCTTTCATAATACAAAATACACTAATGCCTACTATAATTTGTTTTATTTTTACTCAAAGTAGACTTTTTTCTTTTAAAGTAGACGAACAATAAATAATTATTGTATTAAAATTCATATATACATATTATAATTAACTAGGACCTTCGCTCAGAAAATTAATTTGTTTGTAACAAGAATGACTCATATTTATGTCTCTAGCAGTAAAAAACACATTTTCATATAAAATGATACAACTTTTAACCCCTCTCTTGCTATCTTTACGGGTTTGTATTCCCATAAATCGTTTCTTACCGGATATCTAAACCCTATAAGCAATATAGCTACTAAGTTTTAAGTTTGTACCATTTATACTTTTTGAGATTTCGTGATTAATCAGTGAGTTAAATATCTTAATTAATAAGATTATTCTTCATAATCACGAATATTAGTAATTGTATGTTTCACCTGTAGATAATTTTCATTTTAAAATATTGTATTATTTTGATAATAATTTCAGTGTATTTACTATATACATACATACACACATATTTACATACATACATACTTCTGTAGGGCTTACATTAGAACCATTATCACTTTTAGAGACGAAATTGGAATTTACAAACAAGCGTGTACCTGGATCATTATTCATTGCCATACATACAGTGGTATCCCGTACATAAGATACTATGAAACCAAAAAAAATATAAAAGTCGCACTAGTTTGACGTCCATTAGCCGTTTAAATGTCCAATAGAGCTGAGTTTATCTGAAACTATTGAGAAATGGTTCTACGGAAGTTTCCAGTCTAAAGTTAAACCTAAAAGTACTGTTGAATCAGTTATAAATATATTGGGACATTCATACACAACACCGTCTAGTTCCATGGTAAGCTTCGAGGCTTGTATTATGAATACCAGATAGTTGATACACTACATATATATATATATATATATATATATATATATATATATACATACATACATATTACAAATGTAACACCCATGACTGGAGTACAAAAATTCATGCTCATCACACAAATGAATGACCCTAGCGGGACTCGAACCCGCGACCGCTGGTACAATAAGTAGGGTCACTACAAACTGAGCCAAACGTGTCGTCAAAATCAGTTATTTCTAATGTTTCATTAACGTACAATTTCTACGCTTAATGTAATCAGTGAAATGTACAATAATGCACTGGGTTAATTTACCACAGTAAGCTTTATTGCGTTCAACTTTTAAAATTTACGAGTTAGCAATATCTTATTAATAAAGTATAAAATATCCCATTGTTTCAACAGATAAAATCGAACATCACAAATATAAAAAAAGTAAGAATAAAAAAGAAAATAAAAATAAAAATGGACTAAGAATACATCCTTGCGAAACACCCAAAAACGGATACAGACCTAATTTACAAAATTTCAAAGCTCAAGTCTATTGCTCTTTTTAAACAATGACGAAACTTTGATTTGATGTTTCATTAGGCTTTATATTTTAAGAGACATGCTTCATGAATAAGAAATCTTCTTTAGATTTAAGGCTTTGAATATTTAACAATATCTGATGAAGTATTCTGGAACACAAACAAATTATTATTAAACTTTTACATTAATTTTTAATTTGATTTCGAAGATCTTAAGATCTAGTTTTAATACAAAGAAAGTTGCGACTAACAATATATAGGTAGTATATATTTTTAAAGTATGACAAATTCGTACAAAAACTTGTTTTATGAACAAAATATTTACATCAATATTTTTATACTTTAATGAGTTTTGTTGCGATAACATGGAAATATGAACGTATAGGTACTTAAACAATCAGCATTTCGATACATAAATTAATTATTAAAATACCAGATAGCACGAGTATAAAAATAAACAATATGTTTTAACTACTGTTACTAATAGTACAAATTTTCAGGTTTTTAAATCGTTAGTTTATTTAGTAGATAACAACAAAAATCATGAGTTTTCTATAGAATGACACATAGAATAATCGTAAGACCGTTTTAAGATACGATATAAATATTCCTTTGTTTGTTTGTCATCTAAAAACCGTCAGTAATTAGGGCCCTTAAATTTGACACTTACGTAACGTATTTGATGGTTATCATGTATGATTGCAGGGCCTGGGTTCAAATCTCAGGTGGGGCCAAAATATATGGTGATTCTGATGTTAATATGCCTGTCTGTAGTCTGTACACACTTATGCATAAGTCTCAAGCAGTTGGCTAGTCTCAGAGTTTAGTCGTCGTAACCCAAATCGGTTAAGAGAGTATTACGAGTATAACATACTAGCATTGCCCGCGTCTCCGCCCGCGTTCAGATGACCAAAAACCAAATTCAAATTTTACATAGTAGTATACACTTACATTGCAGTTTTTGTATTTTTTTTCAGAAATGAGACATTTTCCCGCGGTAAAAAGTATCCTATATGTTGACCCGGACAACCAGCTATCACCATACCAAATTTCATCAAAATCCCTCCAGTGTTTTTTCCGTGATGCGGTAACAGACAGCCAGACAAAAATTCTAAAAACTATAGATTCAGCCTCTGTATCGATAATAATGACTATTTCAATAAGATTTTCCAAAAAATATTTAATGTACAGATTGACTTAGTTACAATTTTATTATATGTATAGATAAATTTAATACGAAATAACAATTTGGTTCCTTGCAAGTGTCGAACAGCTAAATAAAATTAATCAATTTTCTGCTAAAACTCTTCAACCGTAAAACAAGAATTCATGAACAGTAAATACAATTTAAATTAATAGTAATTAGTAAAAACAATATAAGCCAGTTTTAAGCATTTTGTTTTTTTTTTCTTCTGTTCATGAATGATAATGAAAATCAGTTCACATCCCTTAACAAAATAGAGTACTGAATTGAGTACCTCACCTACCTATACTTTCTTATTTGGAGTCAGCAAATAATTCGGAATGACAATTTTTTTCCATAACAAAGTGCCTCTACAACTACTGCTATGCCGAACCTATGAAAATTACTGTATATATGAGTATGTAAGTCCATACTTTATGTACACATAAATGTGAAAGTGTGTTTGTTTGTTTGTTTGTTGGTTTGTTTGTTTGTTTGTTTGTTTGTTTGTTTGTTTGTTTGTTTGTTTGTTTATTTGTTTGTTTGTTGTTTGTCTTTCTATCACGTCGAAACGGAGTGACGGATTAGCATGATTTTTGGTGTGGAGATAGTTGAAGAGCTGGAGATTGACATAGGGTACTTTTTATCGCGGGAGATCATCTCATTCCCACGGGAGAACACGTTATAATACACACGTTACTTGAAACTTGGTATTAATGCTCTTCAATATAATTAAATAAATATGTGTTTTCGAATTTTTCGAAATACATCCTATAAGGGTGGTTAAATAGGGGATGAAAGTTTGTATGAAACCTGTTTCTTATACAGATTTTTTTATAGTTTTAGCGCGGGTGAAGCCGCGGGTTCTGCTAGTAAGTAATTACTTTTATCATTTTATGTTTTTTTTGATGATATTTATTTTATTGTCATTAATAAAAAAAAATGGAAACAGTATTTTCATACAGATATATAAAGACAATACAGTTCACTATTGAAAATTATAAATTTTCAATAATGATAATAGTCGGATTACGACCACGAAGCGAACAATGGTATCTATACGTCTCAAATACATAAATTCATACATAAGTCGTTCTATTAAAACATTTATATAGAACGTGATAGTGAAAACGAAATAAAATTTAACTGTTAGTATTAAATATATGTATATATTATATACAATATATGTATACATATATATGATGAGTTGCTGTGGGTTATATTATAACGTGTTTTACCGTGGGAATGAGATAATCTCCCGCAGTAAAAAGTAGTCTATGTCTCTTTCCAGCCCTCGAACTATCTCCACACAAAAAATCATGCACATCTGTCACTCTGTTTTGATTTTCGACGTGAAAAAAGAAGAGACAAAGAAAGTCAAAGTCAAACTTTATATCGTAGAAGGAGAAAGAGTCAAATCTACAAATGCATTCAAGTACCTTATATTAATTTAAAGGTTGCCTTAATTATAAAAGAGTAGAATGGAGAAGAAAAATGTAATTATTACGTTCTTTTCATTCTTCAACGAATATTTAAAAAAAATAGCCGTTTTCGAATTTTGTGCTTAGCAACACATTCAGCCATACATTTTTATTTATATAGGTTTACAGAGGGTATCACACTCAGAGTTTGATTTTAAGTATTCTTAATAGTCCATAATATTTTGGTATGGTCTAATTTAAACTTTCATGAACATTAGTTAAAATTCGTTAAAAACACATTATTTTATATTTATATAACCACTAGTAGAACCCGCGGCTTCGCCCGCGCTAAAATTACAAAAAAAACTCTGGCTTTATGCTATAGTAATAATATATAGAAATCTTCCCGATTTGTTGACATTTGCGAGTACTGAGTACTACTGAGTATATGAGTAGAGAGAATTATATATTAGACTAAGATTTATGAGTAGAGAGTACTGCTTCGCGCCATTGGATAGTAACATAATGATAGCCTATAAGCCTTCGTTAATAAACGGGCTATCTAATGCAAAAAAGAATTCTTCAAATCGGTTTAGTAGTCCCTGAAATTAACGCGTTCAAATAAACAAACAAACAAACTCTGCTTTATAATATATATAGATATGAAGGCTGCTTTTATAAATTGTACAGTAAACATCACTAGTATTCGCCCAGGCGTCGCTATTCGATCACCATAATGATTTTTGAAAATTTAAGAAAAACATTATAAGAATATAAAGATTTTATAAAGATATACATATATAAAAAAATCTCTTACAATTTTTTTAATGATAAAAGTTAAGCTCGTCAATAGTTACAAAATAAAAAAAACGATTGTCAAACAGAGAAAAATGTACTGAACTAAAAAGAGAAAATTTTTGTCTTTGTCTATTTACCTATAGATTTTTCAATCAATTATAGTAAATTCCAGGGGATTCCTCAAGTGCAATTATTAAGTTATTGTTACGCATTCAACTCCTTTTCTTTCAATTTGTAAGTATTAGGTATCTATGAAATGAAATACGTGAGTTTTCCGACCAATACATTTTTTATGATAACTGAATCGAATCTCACGGTCACAATTTATAACTACAGCTTCGTTTGAGCACTAGTTTAAATGTATTTTGATCCCGTCATAATTACGAGTAATAAGTAATTTTATTCTTAGCATTCACATACATACTTATAGGTATAAATAAAATAATAATAATGATAATGGCTTTAAAACAATTAAGGTTATAAATCATTGACTTACCGGTGTTTTCTACTAGAACAAATATTTTGCTAAACAAACAAACACTAAATACACTCAACGTGTGTGCCGGCAAAATTATAACTGAGTTTCCAGAATCGACATTATAGTGTCGACGACGTAGTTGCGCGTGCGCATGTTTCGTTGTGTGCATAAACATAGAGTAATGATGAATGAAATCTATTAGATTTTCTTTCTTGTTATTTATGTAAGGTTTTGTTTAATTTATTTTTATGCCGGCGTTAATTATGGTGCAGCGTTATGCCTCGGAGAGAACGGTAAGCGTCAGTCCAGCAACTTGATCTGCTTATAGTCCAATCAAGCCGTCCTATCATAGGAGATTAAGGAAACAAAGAGTATTTGTTTAAACGCATATATTTGAGCACTAATACCAATTGCAGATTTTTTATATTAGATTGGCTTAAATTCTGTTAAATATTATATTTATCTAAAGAAATATATTTGAATTGTTATGAAACTGCAAGTTTTTGTAATAGTATTCATATAAAATTTATTAGTAATAATAATATATTATTTAAATAATAGTAGAACAGAGAACTACTCAAGCAATCTCTGTGATTTCTAAACTGTGAATACTACATGAATGTGTGTGTAGCCTTCTAGGAAAGTCCAGAGCTATGTGCATCTGTGATACAAGAAAACAAGTAAATATCAACCCAAATCTCTATACATTAAGGGTTTTTATTCTATTAATAACACTACTAACGATACAAACACTCAATGTATGTTCATATATATTAAATAACATTTGTAATATGAAGTATGTATAAGGATATATAACACCATCTATCGTTAGATCGTTGAATTAAAACATATGAGTATCATTTCTTTGAACATTTGTGATTGTGATAGGCATCCTGTTCATTATGATTCATTATATCATTGTATTGCTTTTAGTATCACAGTGTTAACTTTCTTACTTCTTAGTAGTGAACTTAATGTGCGGTTTGATATATGTGGCCGATTAGGTAGATAGGAATTGTATTTTACTAATTAGTAAATAAAAAAAATGTTAAGAATATTGGGTGTTATTGAGTATATAACTAATGAGCTATTATTACTTGTTTTTTAATAAAAAAAAAAACTAATATTATAAAGAGGTAAAGTTTGTGAGTTTGTGACGCTGTAGGGGGTAATCTCTGGATCTATTAAACCGATTTTAATGAAATTTCGTAAGAAGATAGCTTTAAACCCTGGGAAAGACATAGGATACTTTTAATCCCGGAAATCATTCCTTAAGGGAATGAAAGTTTGTACGGAATATCAAGCTGTCGACGAACCCGAGCGAAGCGAAAGTCCCTAGTTCTAAATACAGGTACTGACCTGAGGACACGGGTTTAATTATGTATAAGAACTGTTGAACGCTATACCTAATTGTTTTGACTGTGCTATAGTATTCTTTGTACCTGGCTCTGGGTAAAAGAGAGGCATACCACACTGCATATGCCCGAGAATCTGTGATCGCACTTCATTGTTTAATTATTCATCATAGGCAGGTAAAAAGCTTATTATGTGTCAAGTGCCTATTTACTATTTTCTTTCCATCCATCCTGATACTACCAGCAATTGTACTATTATATCCTTAAGTAACTTTTGAACCTTAAAAAGATCTCTTGGGAGCTAGTTTATAAACACAGATAAGTGTCGCTCAGTAATCGAAACCCACCATAATCGTTATAGAAGATTTATTATTAACAATATTGCACTGTCTTTACCTATCTGTATAAAAAAACAAATTGTTTCCAAAAAAAATTTGCAATACACACGCACGTAAATGACTAAAAATAATAAAAATATATAGACTAGCAGTGCCCACGGCTTCGCCCGCGTCCAAACTTCCGATCGCTAACAAAATTCACAGGATCACCCGCTGGGCTAATCAGAAGAATACTTGAAAATTTCATCAAAATAGCTCCAGGTGTTTTGGAGTCCATAGGAAACATACTTACTATACACATCGATTTTTATTTTATCTAATCAACCATTTAAATTTATTTATTGCTCGGAATATGGAGTCTTTTATGAAAATTTAGTGGCACATCGACTGTAGCGCCACCTACTGGGTCTTCAAACCATCCAGGAACCAATTATTGAAATATACACACAAAATTTCATCCTAATCGGTCCAGTCCTTTAGGAGGAGTAGGTTAACAAACACACGTGCAGAAGAATTATATATGTATATATTAAGAAAATGTAAAAATCACATTGCTTCATGAAAAAAGGAAAGGAAAATATAATACAATAATTGTAAAAGTTTTCTTATTTTTCGCATTTTTTTTTCTTTAAGCCATTACGAATGGTATATAAATATAAAAATCGATACATCGGCCAGGTGCATCAACACCGTTGCATTTATAATACACAGATGCGGCCGCTTCGTGAATTTTATATGAGGGCAAATCGTCAATGAAAAGATAGTTGAATATTGATAATTGTACTATTGATTCTTGAATAACTACTAAGTATATAAATATTTATAAGCTTAAAATTTTAATTTGAGGTTTCCTGGTCTAGATAAAAGCTTATTTGCTTGTTTGTGTCATTGTTAAGACTGTCTGTCTCTTTTTTAAGCATTGTAAATAAAAAAAAAATGTATCCTATACGAATATTCCTCAAAAATGGAGTTAAGTTGTAATACAATAAACGTTGTTATTCGAGTTTTTTCTTTCGTTTAAATGGTAATACGATAGTACTTTTGTGTCACTAAAAAAAGGAGTGGGCACTTGAAAATGTACTGTATATAGATGTTTCAATATATTTGCTTCAATTTTTTACCAGGAGTTTATTACATTGTTTGTCAATATTTTATACACTATAAAAATATCATACAACATCATTAATAGTATAGAATATTATGTATTTGTATGTTTGAGGGCATCTAACTCGAGAGCTGTTATAGTTGACTGGTTTTTAGTTGTTTGAGTTACTTAGTTCCATGATTAACCAGAGAGATACAAGTACGTCAATAAGTCAAATTTCCATAATTCAATTTATTTTAAAACTAAAAAACTAACTATTGATAAATTTAATAACTTGTTACATAATTATTAAGAGATTTTTTCCACCAAAGCATTTTTTTTTATCTATACATGTAATAAAATTGTAACTAAGCCGAATCTGTACATTAAATATTTTTTTGAAAATCTTATTGAAATAAACATTATTATCGATTCAGAGACCCAATCTATAGTTTTTAGAATTTTTGTCTGTCTGTCTGTTTGTCTGTCTGTTACCACATCACAGAAAAACCACTGGAGGGATTTTGATGAAGTTTGGTACGGTGATAGCTAGTTATCCCGGTCAACATATAGGATACTTTTTACCACGGGAAAATATCTCATTTCTGAGAAAAAATGCAAAAACTGCAATGTATGTATAATCTAAGAATTTGGTTTTTGATCATCTGAACGCAGGCGGACCCGCGGGAAATGCTAGTATTTTCTAAAAAACAAAAAAGAAATATGTTGTCGAATTCGACCCATGTAAAAGTTGTCCACTTTTAAATGGTGGAACCAACCAAAATGATTGCAACGTTATATTGTGTAAATACAGTAACGTTACAATATTTTGATGATATTGTTCTATTTTATGATTTAAAGATCTAAAATGATATTGGTAAAAAAATTATATTAATTAGGTACAGACTGACTATTCTTTAAATTGGTCACCCATCCTACTGAAGCATTGGAGACATTGCTAGATTATGATGACCATAAGGATGCTCGATTAACATGTATAGTAGTAATATATCGTGAAAACGATTAACAGGGAGTTTTAAGACTTTCGACGTATGAAGTTAAGATATATTGCTTCTTGAGAATACGTAACAAACCTAACAGGTTGAAAGTTTATTTTGAAGGGCATATTTTCAGCTAAATCAAGCTTATACTTTTTAAATATCATAAGCATTCCAGCCATCATTGGCATTTTTGCAAACCGTATACCTGAAATTAACAAAATGTATTTATTAAATAGTGACTTGTTACTTGTGTAGTTCAAGTGACTTTCTTTGGCTTCATTCACATAAATCCCACATTTCAGTTCTAGTTTTGTATTCAGACCAATAGAATTCATAGATACAATGATGAAATTTAGTTATGGCATACCTCCACGATAAACATATATATTCAGTATATGACATATAACTGTGTACTCTACTAGGTTAGATTAGATTACTAATATATTGCAAGGAAGCACGCGAATCCAGTAGTGCAATTATAATGAGATGACAGTACAGATAATAAAGGAAAAGGATGATAATATTGTTAAAAAAGAAGAATTAAAGAACTTGTAGAAGTCTAAACTTTCAAATTTAGTATATTTAACATTTGAATAATAGCCTTAATTAGAATTTTTAATTATTATATCTTAAATTTTTACTGTAAAAATCGTTCTAGGTCCACAGGATCGAATGAAAAAAATGTGTTTTAATCAAAAACGTAATGTCCATATAATCTATACTAATATTATAGAGGTAAGTGATCTACTGAATCGATTTAGATGAAATTTGGTAAGAAGATAGTTTGAAACCCTGGAAATGACGTAGTAAACTTTTTATTCCGGAAACCATCCCTTCAAGGGGTAAAAATAAATATAACAATATGCTATATGTATAACAAAAACTACTTCATGCATAAAATTAATGTAACTGCAATAATCGAGTAGCAAAATTAAGTGAGTAGTTAGTTCTAGCAATGCAATGTTTACCAATGCATATCCTTGGTCCATTTCCAAACGGCAAAAAAGCATATTGGTTGATCTTTTTCCTTTCTTCCCCAATAAATCGTTCTGGGCGAAATACTTCTGGTTCTGGAAAATAATCTGGATTTCTATGCAAATGATAAACGGGTATGTGAATACGATTGCCTTTTTCCAATGTAAGACCTGTAGGCAGGGTATAGCTGCTCATGACTTCGCGAGTCAGAAGACCTAATACAGGGTATAAACGTAGCGTCTCACTAATGCAGGCCTCAAGATATGACAATTCATTAACACATTCATAATCTACAACACCGTTATGTCTTTCAAAATATTCATCTACTTCTTCGATCACTTTTTCTTGGATATTTTTGTTTTTGGCTAGTTCATATAAAAGAAAAGTCATTGCAATCGATGTGGTCTCAAAGCCTGCACCGAATAATGAAAAGGATTGGTATGCGATTAGTTCTTGGTTCACTTCAATTCTTACTAACTCCTTATTTTCAATGTTAGAATTCTTAAATGATTCGGAATATATATATTTATTCTTTTTTAATTCCAAGAAATGATCGATATAGTCATTTCTAGATAAATCATTTGAATCTCTGCTTTTAGAAGCATCTAAAAATAATTTATTGAAAAAGAATAGAATTTCATCACTAAAAAGTTTCAATCGTAACCCATAAAACACATGTGGCCACATTGTTCGCAATATTATTTTTAGACTTTGCTTGATTGATGTATCAAATATCTTCTCACCGATAATAACAAATATATTATTATTTGCCTCATCCCGTTTTAAAGTATTTGGGTTAATACCATATGAGCAAGATATAAAGCAGCTCATCGTATATCTTGAAAGGAGCGATTGCACGGACACTTTCTCATGTGATTTTAATAACTCTTCAACATATTCATCTAGTTCTTTGGTACACTCCTTTATTATAGGAAACATATTTTTCACTTTAGCAATAGTGAATAGTGGGGTTAAATTTAGACGTAAAGCCTTCCATTCGTCACCCCCTCTGAAAAAAATATTCTTTGTAAGAATTTCTCGGTTTGAATAATCAGTATTTTCTCGGCCACTGAAATAGGTAAAATCCTTGGATAGGATTAGTTTCAAAATATTTGGATCTTGTATTATGAGAGCTGGATCAGTACCGTAAAATGTTCCGATGTAAGGCTCCTTGGGAAATTTTCGACATATTTCACTAGCAACTAATGGTCCATACTTTTTTTGTAAAATGTGTTCACTGTAGTTACCAAATAGTAGACTAGGTTTTAAATAAGGCACATTTCGTTTTTTCCAATAATCAAAATTTTTTGTCAAATTATAAAATACGAAATACAACAAAATTACTGTCAGTATTAATATAATCAAGAACATTTTCAACGTTTGTACAAATCGCTCGTGGAATATTGTATGGTCGAAATAATTTATTATCATAAATTTCATAAGTAGTAGTGTGACCATAGTTTTAAAATTTGAAGATATTCTTATTTCAAATCTATTCGACGACACGTTTGGGTTAGTTTGTAGTGACTGAGCTTACTATAGAACTAGATGGTGATATGTGTTAATGTCCCAACATATTGTATTTGTTGAAAGAAGAGGAGGCATCGAAAAAGGAATCATATGGGACCGTTGTGTACAATTTTTATTTTTAACGAGAGACTTCGCTCAGATGCGTCTCTAGGTATACGTTTTAAATAGATAAAAATACTTATCTGTGCAGATAAGTACATACTATTGCGAACTTTCTGTAGGCTTTTTTAAGACTTAGAATTTTCTGGTACGTTGTTTTGATATATACCTTAAGGTTTAGTCAGTTTTAGCCATGTAAGCTTACGCAAACAGCATTTTTTTACAAAACATCATTTTAGTTCGGTCATATAGTATACAATATTTGCAAATTATGTACTCAAACTTTCCTCGTCTATTGCTCTTATTATTAGTGAAAACCGTTGGGCGAAAAGCTAAATCCGTTGGGCGGTTTAGAAAAATTAAGCGGAGAAACAGATATTGGTAGACAGTGATTATGTTTTACACTATGTATTCGTAAATATCTTTATATATGTAGATAAACAACAAAATTATACTTTTTAAATTGTTAAGAATGGTAATTGTAATCCTGTCTTTAATAGTTTTATGTAATAAATTCTTGAAATTTTTGTATAAAAGACAACTTGACATTGGCTGGCCAACCAGTTATTATGTTGTCCCGTGGATAGGGAAGAGTTTCTTTTAGTAATAGGTATTATAAATGTTTACCCAAGTAATAATACCTACCTTTCTACCCGTCCCGTACTTTTTTCGTAAAAAGCAAACAGATAAACAGACATTCAGACAGACAAAAAATTTAACAACTATTGTTTTGGGCTCTATATACTGTATACCATAAGTAACAATCTTGGTTTGCAAAAATATTTTATGTATAGATTTCGCTTTGTTACTATTTAGTTATATGTATAGATTTATTCTCAATTCTACAAAATCACGGTATTTGCCATTAGTAAAGAATTATAACTACCAAATTGTGGTTACTCTAATAATAAAATTTGTGTAAAAAAATTAACAACATCATAAAAATTATTAAACATTTGTTTCATAATAAACAGTATGTGCATTATTTTCTATATATAGGTACTTAATCTGAATCGTCTTTACGTGAGTTACAGTTCACCAATGTTATCGACAATATTTATAATTATACTAGCTACTCACTCTCGCTTCGCTCGCGTCCCTAGCTTGCTTCCCCATACAAACTTTCATCCCCATTCTCACCCCTTAAGGGATGATTTCCGGGACAAAAACTATTTCACTCACTCACTTTTCGTATCATGAAATAATAAAAAAATCTTATTTTGGTAAAAAATATTTTTTTTGCTTCTAATTTTCTTTTATACAAAACTTCTTGACAATAACAAACAAAAAAAAAGAATTATCCAATTTAGTGCAGCCGATCCGAAGTCATGCACGTACATACATTTCATTATTATTTATATAGATAATACAGCCCAAAGTCCCATTGTTGGGCACATGCCGCTCAGTACAAGGAGGATTAGACCACCTTTTTTTTAATGTTGGGAAATGCATTTACGCCTACCGCCTGTAGACATACAGGTGGACTGGTGGGACTCCCCGGATAGAAAAGTCAGTACTACTCACTAAAACCCAACAAAACCTCCCCTGTCTTATCAGGGCGTCGCAGGATCGCTTACGCACTCAACCACGACACCCCGACGGTCTGTCCAAGCAGACCACAACAACCATAGGGTTGCTCCAACGACCCACTCTGCTATCAAAGAAGTACCAGGAGCAACCCGCATAGTACACCTCCCACCGAAGTGGGTCACCTCCCAGTGCGTTTCTTGGCTTCGCGCTCGGCTGAACTGCCGTACGCTAATGAGACCCTACCACGTCAAGGTGAACACACACTTAGGAAGTATCAGCATTACTTCAACTCACTCCAGAAAATAAACTGATATCTTTTTACAAAATACATCTTTTTATACCTTACAATTTTTGGACATTTTGTGGGCAAAAATGGGCATATCCTTTTTGGCAGATTATGTTATTACATAAGTAGGTAAAACTAAGTATGGATTTATAAGTGAACTTGAAAAAAAATTAAAACGGATGGTAAAGTTTATATTAGCAAAGGTCGTATTTGATATCAAATTAACAAAAAAAAAACAGCCGAAGGAAGCCAGTAGTACCTTCTAGTATATAGATATGATAATGAATTAATAATATGATGGAGTTTAATACGAAGTATTTAGATAAATATTATCAAGGCTTATTTGGCAAAACTAATTTAATGATATATAATATGATAAAATGAATGCAAACATTTTTATCATTGTTATAGGTCATGTTGAAGATACAAAATAGATATTTATCCCGCAACTTTGTACAAATAATTATAACAATACAAATTCAAATTGAAGAAAAAAACCTTTCAAGACCATTGATAAAGTCATTATTGTCTGAAAAAAATATGTTACTTTTTGCTAACTTCTTAATTTTTATGAACCTAAAAAAGCATAGAACAAGGGTCTATAGATGAAAGAAAAGTATCATGATGATGATGATGTTCTCCTAGCCGATTCCGGCTACGGCGGCCAATCTCATTGAGATTAGCCAACTGCGCAGGAGATATTATAGTGCTCAAGTGTACGCGCAGACACAAGTGCACTCTCTATTCCTATCACTCTCATACTCCGGTGGGACGACCACTCGACACGACCGGTGAGAGTTAAGGCGCAGGACCGACGGCTTTACGTGCTCTCCGAGGCACGGGGGTGAAACACCGCCAACTTCCCAACTCCGGGCTGTTACTGAGACTTACTATACAGAAAGTCTCAATAACTAAACTTGGCCCGACCCGGGACTCGAACCCAGGACCTCCGGGTGTGCAGCCGTACATGCTAGCCACTACACCACCGAGGCAGTCAGAAAAAGTATCATACTTGTCTAGCAACCGGTGCTTTTTGCATCTATAATGATAACATTATTATTGCTTTGTTTCAAACTATTTAAGTAGCGCACGTCGTTAAAGCCGCCGTTAAAATTTTCCGAATCCGATCAGTAGTTGCAGAGATCATTCCTATATCCAAAGTTACAAAATCTCTTTATAATATTAGTATAAATTATGATATTGTGTATTTTTATACTTAAAAACATACAGATACAGACACATATGAGCGTGCTAGTTGTCTATCTTTAAGAGATTGATGGCCGATTTCACCGACGACATCTAAGTTTAAGGGATCCCCTAAGCATGGTTAGGGGGCTGTTAGGGGACAGTTTATGTTTCACCGACAGTTAGGGGTCACCTAAATGTTAAAATACCCCCTAAATAAAGGTAGTAGAAATACGGGCTCTGATGATGGTAAAATGAAATTTAATTTAGGGGCTAGTTTAGGGGAACTTTTAAGCTAGGGATCCCATACGTAAGTGGTAGCTTAAGTGATATTGGTGAAATCGGGCATCAGTCACTTAGTTTTATCCTTTACCAGAGATTCATAAGTATACAAATAAATCAAGTTTCCATAAATCCATTTATTTTAAAACCAAAATATGCCATATTAATGATAAATTAAATACTTATTACATAATTATTAAAAGATTTACTCCACCACAGCAAAATATTTTTTATATACGTAAATATATTACTTACTTTGAATATTAAAACAAAAAAAAACATGTTGCATACAACTTTTTGATGGATCAAATACGAATTCAAAATAATTGCATCATTTTTGTTCTACTTTTTGATTTAAGGATCTAAAATAATATTGATTAAAAATTTAATTATAAATCTCTGAGTTTTGCTTCCCGACGAATGCTATACAGAAGTCATCTCTCCTGTGAATCTCAGAAAGTATTATATAAATATTTAACTTACTCTGCTTTTAAATTGGTCACCCATTAAACTGAATTACTGGAGACATTGCTTGAACATGATGATCGTGAAGATGCTCGTTTAATATGTATAGTAATAAATATAACGAGAAAACGATTAACAACGAGATATAAGATTAACGATGTATAAATTTAAGGTATATAGCTTCTTGAGAATGCGTAACGAACCCCACAGGTTTAAAGTTTATCTTGACAGGCATATCTTCAGCTAAATCAAGCATATATTTTCTTAATATCATAAGCAATCCAGCCATCATTGTTATTTTAGCGAACCGTATACCTGAAATTAACAAAATATATTTATTAAATAGTGACTTGTTACTTGCCAGGTTCCACTGACTTTTACCGAATTTCATCACCATGAAATTTCTTAATAGTATACCACCGCCGTTTAAGTATATATATTCAATATTAAATATGAAAAATAGATTGAATTTGAAAGTTTTTTACTTTTAATATCTTTAATTATGGTAAAAATCATCCTAGGTCCACAGGATCGTATGTTTTTAAACAAAAATATGTCCATATTAAGTATAACTTTCTAATATAATACGCGTAGTACATAAATACAGATAAGTTAATATTTATAAGTATTAGAATATACTGTAATACAAGAACTACTTCTTGCATAATATTATTTATGTAACTGCAATAGACGAGTAGCAAAATTAAGTGACTAGTTAGTTCTTTTTCATAGACATTAAATCAATGTAATGTTTACCAATGCATATCCTTGGTCCATTTCCAAACGGCAAAAAAGCATATTGGTTGATCTTTTTCCTTTCTTCCCCAATAAATCGTTCTGGGCGAAATACTTCTGGTTCTGGAAAATAATCTGGATTTCTATGCAAATGGTAAACGGGTATGTGAATGCGATTGCCTTTCTCCAATGTAAGACCTGTAGGCAGGGTATAGTTGCTCATGACTTCACGAGTCAGAAGACCTATTACAGGGTATAAACGTAGCGTCTCACTAATGCAGGCCTCAAGATATGACATTTCATTAACACATTCATAATCTACAACACCGTTATGTCTTTTTAAATATGCATCTACTTCTTCAATCACTTTGTCCTGGATATGCTTGTTTTTGGCTAGTTCGTATAAAAGAAAAGTCATTGCAGTCGATGTGGTCTCAAATCCTGCACCGAATAGTGATAGGGATTGGTATACCATTAGTTCTTGGTTCACTTCAATTCTAACTACCTTCTTATTTTCAATGTTAGAATTCTTAACTGGTTCGGAATATATATATTTTTTCTTTTTTAATTCTAAGAAATGATCGATATAGTCACTTTTAAATAATTCATTTAAATGTTTGCTTTTAGTAGTATCTAAATATAATTTATAGAAAAAGGACTCAATCTCGTCACTAAACAATTTCAATCTTAAGCCATAAAACACTTGTGGCCACATTGTATGCATTATTAGTTTTAGATTTTGCTTGACTGATGTATCAAAAAGCTTTTCACCGATAATAACAAATATATTATTATTTCCCTCATCCCGTTTTAAAGTATTTGGGTTAATACCATATGAGCAAGACATAATGCAGCTCATCGTATATCTTGAAAGGAGCGATCGCACGGAAATTTTCTCATTTGATTTTAATAACTCTTCAATATATTCATTTAATTCTTTGGTACACTCATTTATAATAGGAAACATATTTTTCACTTTAGCCATCGTAAATAGTGGGGTTAAATTTAGACGTAAAGCCTTCCATTCATCGCCCCCTCTAAAAAACATATTTTTTGTAAGAATCTCTCGGTTTGAATAATCAGTATTTGCTCGGCCACTGAAGTAGTTGAAATCCTTCGATAGGACTAGTTTCAGAATATTTGGATCTTGTATTATGAGAGCTGGATCAGTACCGTAAAATGTTCCGATGTAAGGTTCCTTGGGAAATTTTCGACATATTTCACTAGCAACTAATGGTCCATATTTTTTTTGTAAAATGTGTTCACTGTAGTTACCAAATAGTAGTCTAGGTTTTAAATAAGGCACATTCCTTTTTTTCCAATAATCAAAATTTTTTGTCAAATTATAAAATACGAAATACAACAAAATTACTATCAGTATTAATAAAATTAAGAACATTTTCAACGCCTGTACAAATCGCTCGTGGAATATTGTATGGTCGAAATAATTTAGTATTATATATGTATTTGATAAGTAGTAGTGCGACCATGGTTGTAAAATTTGAAGATATTTCAAATCTATCTGTTGAAAGAAGAAGAGAAACTAGTTCGTGACTAGAAACATGTTAATTTCTTATTTTTGATCCATAAAATAAAATAACGATTATTTTATTTATACTTTAAATATTTATGTTTTGGTTAGATAGATTATGTATACTAGTATAGTATTACATGATCTGTGGTATTTATTATATAGATATTTTGAAGAAAGTACGTTGAGAAGTTTTTGAAATATTGTGTCTTCTGTTTCACGCGTTTGACCGCGCAATTAAATTTGTTTCACATACTAATATTATAAAATACAGAGCTACATCAGTCTGCAATAAAATATTATAAAAACCATGAATTTTATTTTTAAAGTAATAAATAAGTATGTTAAAACATAAGATAAATAAATGTTATATGTTATAGAACTGTCATGTACATTTTTATTTTTAACCTTCCCTCGCTGCTCGCGGGTGCGTTCCTAGTTATGCGTTTTAAATAGTTATGATGACTGTACCATGAGTGATAGATACATGTTATTGCGGACTTTTTGTAGGCCTTTTTAAGACCCAGAGTTTTCTAGTAGGTACATTGATATACGAGTTTACTCATCTTAAGGTTTAGTTAGCTTTAGCCATGCAAACAGTTTTTTTTACAAAATACCGTCTTAGTTCTGCCATTGTATTGTATTGTATATTGGACTCGTTTTCCGCACTTAGACTCGCACTTAGTTCTGCCATTTTATATAAAATATTTATTAATTATAGCACAAGCCTTCCTCGTTTATCGATGTTTTTATTAGTGAAAACCGTATTAAAATCCGTTGGTTGGCTTACAAGCATTAAGCCAACAGCTACTTGTTTTACACTATCTATATTCGTAGATATAGATAAAGAAAAACAACAAAATTTTGCATTTTCCTATGAAAATGAGCAATTTTATCACACTGAAGATATATGTTATATATGTTAATTTTTAACCCTGTTACTTCTATTGTGTAATGAATTCTAGAATTTTTTGTATAACTAGTTATTGCGGAGCAATAAGTTATCACTACTCAAGGTTTAGTTAAAATCCCTTCAGTACTTTTGCATGAAATTCAAACTATCTGATAGAACAAAGAAACAGACAAACATCTACAGATTTCGCTTTGTTTTGCTTTAAGTATAAGTTTCTCATAAATTTTACAAAATCACGGTTTTTGCCAGTAATGAATTGAAACTGCAAAATTATGGTTATCCTATTAATAAAATTTGCAACTTTTAAATAACTAACCAAAGGTCATTTGTTTTTTTGCTAATTATAATAATATTATTTGAAATAAATATAAAATATATATTTCAAAATAAACCTAATGTGTAGGTATTTTTACCAAGGAAGGGTATTTAAGTTTATTGCGCGCATTTGTATGTTTCTATGTATGTATGTTTGAAATTTCTTTATTACCTCATAACTTCCAAACAGCTGGATGGCTTTCAACAGTTAATGTATCATTAGATTCATCTCAAAAACCCAAGTATCGTTATATAGGTATTTAAAAAATATATCAGTAGGATGGATCCTTGGCGCCAATTTGTGTGTCTTGACATTTTTTTTCATCAAAATCATTCGAGTGGGGTATCAAAATACAGGTTTTTAAAAGGTAATTAAAACAATACATACATGTAGTAGTAGTAGTAGTAGTAGTACTGTTCTCATCTTTGGGCGGGAGCTCCCCAGTACCAGCTACTTCCGTTTGACCGCATTCAACGTAGGGCGGCTCGAGTTATCAACAATCAATCAAGCTCTCTCTGATCGGTTAGTTTTGATCCTTTAGCTCTGCGTAGAGATGTTGGATCACTCTGCATCTTCTACCGCATTTATCACGAGGAGTGTTCCGAGGCATTGTTCGGACTGATCCCAGCTGCCGAATTTCATCATCGGACATCGCGCCAAAATAGTAAATTCCATTCACACCACCTCGATGTCCAGCGTTCCACAACAGTGCGATTTTAAGGCATTTTCTGCCCCGCACAACCACTTTGTGGAACCAGCTATCGCCGGCGGTCTTTCCGAACCGCTACGACCTGGCCACCTTCAAAAAGAGAGCGTATTCTTTCCTGAAAGGCCGGCAACGCATCTGCAAGCCCTGCGGTGTTGCAGATGTTCATGGGCGGCGGTGATTACTTTCCATCAGGTGAGCCTCCTGCCCGTTTGTCCCCCTTAGTCCCATAAAAAAATACAACTTATATATTTAAAAGTAATTTAGGATATGAAATTGTTAAATAAAACTAAAAATGTCTAACTGACCAAAACTAAAAAGCTATAATTAAAAAAATGATTTATAAATATAAAAAAAACCGACTGCGTGAGAAGTGAACTAAAAAGAAGAGAACAAGTTTACGAAGGAACATAGTATTATGCAGTCGGAGACATACATACATACATGCAGCTATTCTAAAACATGTACATATTATGTAGGTGCTGTGCGACACGACCGGTGAGAGATAATGCGCAGCACCGACATTTTAATGTCTTTTCTGTAGCAGGATAGAAAACCCAAGACCTCCCAATCTGCTGCCGTACATTCAAACCACTAGACCATTGAGGCAGTCAAATGTTAAATGTAATATTATCTTCACAGTCGTTACATGGCTGTGTGCGTGCACACTATTATGTGTTTGTTACGTCGAAACGGCTCAATGAAATTGGGAATGAAGATAAGCTCTTTTAGATTAACATATTGGCATCCTTTATCTCCGTAAGTGTTATTAAAGGAAATGACAGATTAAATTAATAAATGTGTTATTTATTTAATACCAGCAGGACGCATATACATATTTAAAAATTACCAGACAAGTGTGAGTCGGACCCACCGAGGGCTCCGTACAAATTTGTAGGTACATATTATAAAAACCATACATTATAAAAATAATTAAAAATTTGTTTAAGCTTGTGCATACAATATCATGTCAAATAATATTAAAGGTTTTTAAAATAATTTAATTTCAGATTACAAAATTAATAGTTAAAAAATGATAAGTTAATAAATAGTCACTAACGAAAAATTTAAGTTAAATTAAATATAATAAAATAAGTTATAAATAATACGATCTGTTAAAATATAATGTTAAAAATTATTAATTAAGTAAAAGTAATTATAATTTGAAATTATAAGTAAGCATGTATAGAATAAATGAAGCTTTATTATTATTAAGCTTGTGCCAATGAAGCCTTTTCTTATGTATACCCCACATGACAGGGTTAACTCAATTCCAAAGGATCGGCGTTCCTTGCATAAAGAGCCTGTTTTTTATGATTTAATTACAAATCTATAGTTTTCAGGTTTTTCCCTATACTTGTAGTATAAGACGGTATTACTTGCCAAATTTGATAGTTCTAGGTCAACGGAAAATACCCTATAAATTTTGATTCCGTTGAGAGTGTCGAAATATACGTTTTTTGCGACATAAACGGCCGAAGTTTGAATTTTTCACAGTTTCAAGTTTCAACTCGATTATCTCCACGCGTTCCCGAGATAAAGTATCTTGACAGACAGACAGACGGACGGACGGACAACAAAGTGATCCTGTAAGGGTTCCGTTTCTTTTCTTTTGAGGTAAGGAACCCTAAAAATAACCTTTTTTAAAATCATAAAATTATATTTTAAAAATAAGTTACACATTTTTAAATAAAATAATTCTTGTGTGAGTGTGTATGTCACTGAACTTCTCTCAAACGACTGGACCGATTTTGATGAAATTTTTTGTGTGTGTTCAAGGGGATCTGAGAATGGTTTAAATTCACAATTTGAATAATAATTTTCATCAAAATGGTCCAGAATGTTTTAGCTTATTAAAAAAAATTTGAAATTTTCAAATTAAAGACGTGTAGACAGGACAACGTCTGTCGGGTCAACTAGTTTTTAAATAAAATTTTAAAAATCGCTCTTATTTTTCATCACTCGCGATATCATTTCATTCATTTATTTCTCATATTATTTCTTTCCTATGTTCTTTTTTAAATTATGTGCTGTGACGTAGCTTCTAACATGGTGTAATGAATAGTTGATGATGTGAATTATTAAATAAAAATCGAACCAACCAGGTGCACCATTGTCGTTGCATTATAAATTAAGTGGCTAAGGCCTCCACGTTACTATTGCATGTCATGGACGGACAGTTGAGAGACGATAAAGACTTGTAATTTGAACTTTTAAAAGTTTAAAGTATATTCCGAGGCTGAAAACAATTTAGTCTAGTTGTTTAAAATATTATTAGTAATTAACAAGAAGAATAATAAAAAAATAAATAAATTAAAATTAAAAAAAACCCTACGCAAATTAATTGTCATTAAACGAGTACACTGGCACGCGTGAAGCACATAATCGAGTAATCATACGCCAAAATGCCTTACATCATTTTGGAAAAGAGCTGATACTCTTAAACTGCTCGACCGATATTAACCAAATATAGCTAAGAACCACCGCAAGGAATCTGGCTTTCAAATGAAAAAAATCGCATCGAAATCTGTCCATCCGTTTGAAAGCATTGTGCAGGCATTGTATGCCACAGACAGACACACACACACAGACAGACAGACATCGACGTCAAACTTATAACACCCCTCTTTTTGCGTTCTGGGGTTAAACATAGGTTTTATATACAAGTATAAAGATTGATCTGTGTGAAAAAAATCGACCATAATCATTTCTATATTGATTATACTAAAGCTCGTCTATAGCGACTAAATAAAAAAAAACTGTGCGTGTAACCTTTACGCGCGGTTGAAGTAAAACTTCTTTGGCAAATATCGCAATGACATTAAAACATATCAATAATCAAATTAAAATTAAACTAGGCATATTACAATCGTATATTTATAGAATATCATATACGGAAAGAATATAATGTTATATACTTGTCAGACAATATCAATGGTTACCATGGCAACATGACAATGTATTCTATCTCATACTCTCGCCGGCTTAATTCTATATTATATTTATGTGTTTGTCTCTTTTTAGTGTCGCATTTTCGTTTCATCGAGTTTCAAATCACAATGATTCTAAAGAAGTTTCACTTCAAAAAAAGAAAATTGGTTGACAAACAGAGGAAAAAAAGATACTGGACTGTTTTTGTCTTTTCTTGAAAAAAGTTATGTATATAATATATATAAAAGTTATATATAATACATATAGTATATAAGTACAATTTTTTTTTATATTTTTATAATATATGTATAGATAAGTCAAATTTATATTCCCTAATGTATCATTTCGATTGAACTTATCGCACCAGGCATAATTCAAAGCTCATTTGAATTAAAATTCGGGCCGATATGAAATGCTAAACAACTGACGTTCAACTCCCGATAACTGATTTATATGCTAATTCCATCATGACTTTATAAGTTAGATTGTTGAATTGACTCTATTCAATTTTATGTATAGCTAAATAGTTCAAGAAAAACCCACTATATCAGAATATCTTAAGAGAAAATTATTACGAGGAGTAACTCAGATTTCTGAGTAGGCCAAATAAAATTCGATGTAATAATAATTATTGCACATAGTTTTCATTTAACTTTTTAACAAAAAATAAAAACCGACTTTTAGCCACTAAAATGTAAAAAATAACTAAACGGAGGTTTTCATTTAGAATAGATACCTAATCAGATATTTTCGAAGTCGGTGCCAGCCGATACAAAGCAAATCTATCTATAATATATTTGGATAAGTAAAATACGTATTTACCTATTA